TTAAACGAGCATCCAAGACTCCTGAGATTAAAAACTTATTCACCATCTCTACAAGATCCTTTTTAATGACATGCCAGGAGTGTTGAAAGAAAAGCGCTGTCATCCCGTCAGGTCCTGGTGCTTTCTCTGGATGCATCATGAAAAGCGTTTGTCTAATCTCCTCCTCAGTGGCCATTCGCAATAACCTTTGATTCATTTGAACTGTTATCGTGGACGGAATCTCCTCCAAGAAACCATCAAACTCAGATGGGGAATTGGAGTTAAAGAGCTCCTCAAAATAATTCACTGCTATTTGGTCCACCCCCTTTTCCTCGGTAATCCAATTTCCAGCTTCATCATGAAGTCCCACTATTCGATTGCGCACCCGTCTCTGTTTTGTTAAGGCATGATAAAAATTGGTATTAAGATCTCCCGAAGAATACCACATGTTGCGGCTCTTTTGGTACCAGTATTCCTCCTCATCCTTGTACGCATCTTGTAATTTCCTAGAGACTTCCAAAATATCCTCTTGTGTTCTATTGTCATCCATCTGTACCTCCTCAAGAGCCCTTTGGAGATCTTGAATTTTCTCTTTTCCATAAGGAGGATTATTTTTCCTCCACCTTGCTATCTCATGCCTGCAATTACTAATCCGCATACTCTTTATAAATCTAGTGTTATTGGTTTGATAATATATTATATTCAAAATCTTTTGTTATTCAAATTTTTTGGATTTTAATGATTCTATAAATTTATTAAATTACGTGTTATTAGAATTGTATTCTTAACTTTTAACTCACAAAACAGTATTTTTCGAAAACTACATATATCATTAGGCTTCTTAAAATCATGATAGTACGTTAATCTTATAATATACAAATTCTTTGTAACTTTTTCAAAATTTAATACATTTCTTAATTTTTAAAATCGACAAAATCTATTAAAAAATCTAAGTTCCTCTAAAACACTGTATAAGATGACAAAAGCTCTCTAAATATTTTTTAGCAATATATTCATATTAAATTTTTGGTAAAGTATTTGTATTTAGAATATGTAAAACAATTCAAATAACTTATTATAATTAAGTTATTTTATTTAATAAAACCACAAAATTATATTTATTTCCAAAAACTAAATTTTTATTTTCAAAAATATTAAATATTTCACATTTAAAATATAACTAAATACAATTCATTATTGTCGATTAAAATATAAGAACTAATATATTAAAATATAATATATCTATATTATTCAGAAATAAAAAAACTATATACCATATACTAATTTTACATGATAATTTATATATTAATCATCAAATACTGTCAAATAAAATATAAGAATTAATATATTAAAATATAATATATCTATATTTAATTCAGAAATAAAAAAAATTATATATCATATACTAATTTTATATGATAATTTATAAAATCAAAAAAATCTAGAAAAATCTAAGTTCCTGTAACACTGTATTTTTTTTTTTTGATCAACCCTGTAACACTGTATAAGATGACAAAAGCTCTCTAAATATTTTTTACCAATATTTTCATATTAAATTTTTGGTAAACTATTTGTATTTAGAATATGTAAAACAATTCAAATAATTTAATATAATTAAGTTATTTTATTTAATAATAACACAAAATTATATTTATATCCAAAAACAAAATTTTTATTTTCAAAAATATTAAATATTTCACATTTAAAATATAACTAAATACAATTCATTATTGTCAATTAAAATACAAGAATTAATATATTAAAATATAATATATCTATATTATTCAGAAATAAAAAAATTATAGAACATATACGAATTTTATATGATTATTTATATATTAATCATCAACTACTTTACCAATCATTAGAGCATACTTCTCTTTGCTTTTTCATCATTCTACTAATAAAGGTCATTATCGTGTCCAAATAAATTAATTTTATTTACCAAATTTCATCTAAATTTTTATTTGAATTGATCACATCTCAAAACAGAAATATGAGATCGCAAATTTATAAAATAAGATTCTAATTCATGTAAAGAATAAACCATTTTGTGGAAATAACAATACTTTACTTTTGAAAGAGAAACAACCTATGAGAAACAAATTACAAACTACGAACCTTATCAGCTGGTGGAGAAAAATCTTTTATGATAAGTAAACCTTTCTCTCACAACTTCTCTGAAAAGAAGTCCCTGGTCCACGTCTAGTTGTAAGCCCCCTTGAGATCTGAACGTTTGTCTTAACAGCAAAAAATGTAGGCAGCTTCCCGAAAAAAGCAAGATGTCTTGTTGTCTAGCACAATGAACTACACCAAGTTTAGAAAATGAAATTTAAAAAGATTAGTTACCAATCTGACATAGCTTTATACCTTCTTTCTCGTCAAAATCCCCCATGGAAGAAAAGTAATAGCTGGAGCCATGGATATAGCCCCATATAACCGTTGATAACCAGCTTGTCTCTTCATGATCTTCTCTAGAGCTGCACAGTCTCTTAATCTAACAGGACCAGGCATGCCTCCCTGTTCACAATTTGAAAATCAGCCAAAACAGAATAGCACGAGAAAGATCTATAATGTTTAATAACATACCGGCAAAGCCACAAGATCAAAAATTGAGAATTATAAAGTACATCTTCTGCACCAGCGACATTTTTTTCATTTAATGAGCTGTGATTCAACCTATCCATTTATTGGAAGTAACAATACTTAACTTTTGAAAGACAAACAACCTATGAGAAACAAAATACAAACTACGAACCTTATCATCTGGTGGAGAAAAATCTTTTATGATAAGTAATTCTCTCACAACTTCTCTGAAAAGAAGACCCTGGTCACGTCTAGTTGTAAGCTCCCCTGAGATCTGAACGTTTGTCTTAACAGCAAAAAATGTAGGCAGCTTCCCGAAAAAAGAAAGATGTCTTGTTGTCTAGCACAATGAACTACACCAAGTTTAGAAAATGAAATTTAAAAAGATTATTTACCAATCTGACATAGCTTTATACCTTCTTTCTCGTCAAAAGCCCCTATGGAAGAAAAGTAATAGCTGGAGCCATGGATATAGCCCCATATAACCGTTGATAACCAGCTTGTCTCTTCATGATCTTCTCTGGAGCTGCACAGTCTCCTAATATAACAGGACCAGGCATGCCTCCCTGTTCACAATTTGAAAATCAGCCAAAACAGAATAGCACGAGAAAGATCTGGAATGTTTAATAACATACCGGCAAAGCCACAAGATCAAAAAATTGAGAATTATAAAGTACATCTTCTGCACCAGCGACATTTTTTCATTTAATGAGCTGTGATTCAACCTATCCATAGAAATGAATAAAATGTGAGACACATAACCATGAAAACACCAATTTAAAGAGCTTAGAAGACAACAAAACCTTCAAACAGTCACTGGTTTCTTCGTTTCTTCAGTGTAGAAGAAAGTGAATTCTCAAAGCCACAATTAGCTGCAGGGAAAAAAAATAAGACAAAGTAACATATAACACCATCGAGAGAAGAAAAAATTCCTACGGCCTGAACCACTTTGAGACCCATGATGTCTCTTCTGGAGCTTCACACAAAGGCCTCCAGAATCAACTCTTCGACCTTAGCAAATCATCAAACAGAGAATGAACAAAAACCAAACATAAACACTTTTTCATACTTTACTCCAACAGAGAATAAACAAAACCCAAACATAAACACTTTTTTTATACCGCGTTATGTAGGATCACATAACAAAATGTAAATAATCTTCTCAATATTATGTGGTTTCTCACTGACAAGGTTCAGCATAGTATTCAGCTATTCATGCTTCAGACATAGTAAACTGACCTTTCAAAGCGACGTTCTGAAAAATCCTTACAGAGGTGAAAACCCAGTAAAACCAAGAGACAGCTTTGGCGGAGGAGACACCGATTTTATCGCCGGAAACAGTAATTTTCTGGTGGAATTCATGGCAATAGGCCTTGAGATTTTGAGAGAGAAGATAATTTTGATTATAATAGATCTTGAAAAAGAGGGTTATAAAGAAATACAGAGGGAGAAAAGGGAAAGGAAACCATTAATGAGATTTACGAAGGTTTGATTGCACAGAGAGTATGTCTGTCGATTGATCGATGATTGGTAAGAGAAGAGGAAGAGATACCTTCGAAGAACAACGCTAAAGGGTCTGGGACACTGAATTTTTTAGGGTTTTCCCTACTATTGGGCTAAAGGGACCCAACACAAATAACTTAACGGATCAGAGAAATTAAAAACCCAAATACAGAACATGTGACGTGGCAAAAAGACAAATCTTTATTGATTGATTATTTTATCTAACGTGAACATTCTATCTGAGGTTTATATCATCCTTTTAATATTGTATATATGATATTGGGTACATTGAATATTAGTAAGACAAACAAAATTCTTAAGAACATGTTAAACATATTTAACATCTTCAAACATACTGTAGTTTTGTATTTTGAATGTGCAGAATTTTAATATTTGGATTTTATAAGGTTTTATAAGATTTAGAAAGGTTGTACTACCGAATTCATTAACTACAGAATGTTTGTTAATCGTATGACATAATGTTTAATTCAGGGGCAGACCCACACTATGGCTACTGGGGTCAATCGACACTACAAAAAATGATTAAAAAGTTGTTTTTCTATGGGATATTGTGAAAAAACCGATAGCAGAATTGTTACAGTATGTTGTTTGACCCCTTAAAACCATAGTTTGAAACTCACCAGTGACACTTCAAGTAGTTTTTGAACCCACACATATTTATTCTTGGGTTCGCCCCTAGTTTAATTAATAATATAAGATCTAATTGTTTATATTGTAAATCAACAATTGTACGGTAGATATCATGTATAGTGATGTTATTGCCATTGTTTTCAAAAGATGGTATTTTCATCTACATAACCGAGCTACACCCTTGAAGTTAGATCTATATTTATTGGTCATTTAGATTTGTGTGGTGTGTCTCATATATTGTGTTTTTTTAATGCAAGTTTTGAATAATTCTTTAAAAGCAGATGAAGAATACATGCATTATTTGAAAACGAACATATTACATGAGTCACTTGGAAAATCCTCTCCACAATCTGAATGTGTTTAAGTGTAAGTAATGTATTAGCTTGAAATTATTTAGTAGAAAAAGTATTTGAAAAACTTGCTTTTTATATTAACAATTGCTTTTAGCAGTCTCCGTGTTAAAGTAAAAGTGAATAACATATGTGGTATTAAGAAATAATCGGCATAAAGAATCTTTATAAATAAAGTTGAGTTTAGTACCTTCTTAAGCTGTCCACATCATTAAAAGAAGGTGGGGCAAAAAAATCCACGTGGCACCACCCCTTTTAATTTCAAGATGTCTGACTGACAACAATTTAGGTGTCTGGCTGACAACAATTTAGGCCCACAAAGCCCATCGTGTCAGCTTGCTTTTTTCGTCCCTGAAACCCTAGCTGTCCGGCTTTCCCACCCAAGAGACGATTGGAAAATGTTTTCCGTTATGGCATTGACTCCTCTAAACCCACAACTTGATCTTCATTGCTTCTTACCTTCTTGCTCAATCTCTCACTTGAAATATATTTATAGAAGGGGAGTCTGTGGAGGCATTCATTTGCTTTTTCCTCAATCATAGAACACTCAATCTCTCTCAGCCATCTCCGAGTATGTCAAATCAACAGCTCCGTTTCGCTGAGCTTAAGGCTGGCTGCTGCATGAAGGTTGTTGTGACAAAGCTCCTTCGGTTCTGAAGAGCTTGCCATAGGTAAGCCAACAGTCTATTTTCACTATTATACTTAAAAATAGAGTTTTATGTGGTGGATTCGAAGTTCATATGATACACCTGTTTGTTTATTTATATTTTGTTGACAGAGAAGATGCTAAGTTTTGTTCATGAGTTGATGATCGACAAGTTTATTACTGGTATGTTTCAACCGGCCCGTCATTCGTAAGCTCTGTGGTCATGACGGCGAGGTAAATCTCTCAAAACTTATCGTTTATTAGGATTTATTTTCATTCTCTTCTTGTGTTTTGTGAACATTGATCTTGTCAGGTTAATTTAGTAAAGTTCAGTGACTCATATGTTGTAGTTGTATAGGACAATAGATTCCATAGTTTTGAGCCAGTACAGGTTTTTGTTCCTTCCGTTCCAAATCTCTTGCTTTGTAACTAAATTTTAACTTTTGTTTTATTCATGTGTGTGTGTGTTTTTCTCTTTCTGATCATTCATACGTTTTTGGATAGAGTCACGTATTTATTTTTTTGTTTTAACAAAGATGAGATTATAATCACTAAATGCCTATGGCTTGGATTCTCTTGAGTTAGTTTGTAATAGATTATGTTTAATTGGGTTCTTTAAATCTTTGTTCATGTTAGTTTCCCAAAAGATCAATTTGTTATTTCAGGCAGAGGTAACTTCAGTTTGACAAAAAGACATCAAACTTCTTTGCTTACACAAGTATGGTTCCTCTATTTGATTCAGTGTTCTGGTATTTTTCTCTTTTTTTGAAATTACAAAATAAATGTTTTTTCCCTTCATGTTCTACATAGTTTAGATGTGAAAAAACTTAAAAGATTAGTTTATGTTTTAGTTTTAGTTAAGAATTAGAAAGTATCATTCTTTTCTAAAGTCTTGGAAACTTGGAAATACCCATGACGACATACATACTCTTTGTTCGTGTCCCTCTTCAGTTAAAGTATAATAATCTCTTCACCTATGATACAAGACTATAACACTTGCAATAAACAGTATCAAGCTCTTTACCAAGAGAGGAGGACTAACGTCACCTGAAGTGGAGATATGTGATTTAGCAGCGAGGAAGTACGCAAGTAGAGAGAATAAAGTCTCTACATTGACCAGAACTCGGTAGAGCTGTTAACGAGAACCACTTCTTGGATGATGGTTAGTTCCCTAATCACATTCCAATCCTAAAAAAAATTGCAATGTCATGCACCGGAGCCGCAGTTTTAAAGAACTCAGCTGATCTCGGTGTTGCGTTTGACACGGATGTTAAAAGGAGTGGGTGGTGGATAACAGAGGAAACCCTATAAACGGAGATAAGCTCATTGCGCTTATGTCAGCTATTGTACTTAAAGAACATTCATGTGGGTTTATACTATTGATATTATTTGTTAATATGTATACTTAATGTATTATGTGTTGATATAGGAAGTACGATAGTGAAGGACACAAGAATGAGTATGGGGCTAACCAGGTTTATAACAGAGAGAGGAGAGAGACAATGTTTGTACAGAGTAGGGTATAGAAACGTGATTGGCAAGGGAGTTGTGCTGAACTATGATGGCATTGAGACTCACCTCATGATGGAAACTTAAGGATATGGAGCTGTCAATGATAACCACTTCTTGGATTATGGTTAGTCCATAATTGTTTATTTTCATAAAACAAACAAACAATCTTGGCCTAGGTCCCTCTTTTATTTGTATTAGTTTATTAGTTATATATGGTGTTCTTATGTTTTTCTTTTCAGAAAATAAAACATCCAACATCCAGACATGCAACTGTTCTACAAACTGAAACAGACTTCCAATTATTTCTTCAACCATTCTTTCGGCCCAGATTTTAGATGTCACCGTGAAAGTTACTAAAAAAATGGTCCATGTATTCATACTCTAACTAAATTATAACACTAAAATACCAAAACACTATCTCAATCTTTGATATTTATAGACCCCTCAGCTCTAAATTCTTTCTTAGTAGATTTAAAATAAAAAATACACAACCAAATTAGTGTGCTTTCTTATAGTCACAAATTAATTTTAACAAATCTTGAGGTAAAATAGACCGTCGGTTGATTAGACATCTATGCTAAATTTGAATGATCAGCATTAACAACGCTCACCAAAGATAATTTATGTTATACACATAACTTCCCATCCTTACCCATCTCACTCTTACGCAAAAAGTAACTTATGTTTGTCCTAATAAGAAAAAAAAACCACCTGTTCGCTAACAGTTTGCATGCTTCATCTGCATCCGACATACAAAATTACATCTGAACTCTATGAAAATTGTAATTAACTTGGCAGAGCCAATCGCTTTACACATCTATAATACATCGACATCAACACCATATACAAAACTATTACGGGCATTTCAGTTTTTCCTATGTTGCAAGGAATTAGAAGCGGGGGAAACTGAACCATACGGAAATATAGAAGCGATTTTTATCTTTAATTATGAATTGGGTACGTGTTGAATTGGGTACGTGTTAGAAGCGTATATCCATATCCATATATATTTGTAATATTTATGACTAAAATTATATGATTCAAATTCACAATAAAGGATTTATTCATTTACAATAACTATAAATGATTCCATATTAAATTGTGAAAATGCAGATAAATTAAATGTATAAGAAATTATTATCCAATTAAATATTTTAATATTTCATAAATAGTTGACACAATATATTTGAATATATATGTTATATCTCCAACAAAAGAACCTAATGCATAAAGATAATTTTTAGTAATTAAACTAATATTCATATATTTTAGATACAATAAATTTTAGATTTTATATTAAACATAAAAAATGATCTTATATTTTATATTTATTAAAGAATTGTGGTTTTAAAATGGAAACGTGATTACAAAACATAATCGTAAGATTTTAATGTTGTTTTAAAGGGGATTTTCAAAAGCTTTTTAGAATTCCGTAAGCTTCCTCAAGATTACGTTTCTGATTCTGGTTCTAACGCGAAAAGCGGACGTCCTAGATTGCACAAAACTAAAGAAATAAATTCAGTTACACAAATAACAAACAATCCGCGCGAAGCGCAGACACACCACTAGTCTTTATAAATAAAGTTGAGTTTAGTCTCTTCTTAAGCTATCCACATCATCAAGAGAGCATGGGGCAAATAATGACAGGTGGCAAGCTTTTGTTTAGCTTTTGAAACAGATTTCTCGTCTTGATTCTTAAAGTGGGCTTTATTGTTTTTTATGAGGCCCACCCACCTGTTGTTAAGGTTTGTCTGATTATAGCTGGTGTAGCTTTAGAGACAGTCACTGTTCATATCTCTCTACAGCGTTCATCTCTGTAACGGGCAACATTAATCCAAGCATTAAAGGTGATGCATCATTCCTCCCACTCTCTCCAGTTAAATCGACCATATCATTTTCCAAAGTAATCATCCGAATCTTACCCTTTAAACGTCTTTGTCTCTTGGGATGAACAGTCATACCAAAACCAAATCCAAAGATCTCTCTCTGTCAAGCATCAGATCCATAAATGGAATATCCGTTTACTCTTCTTGCCGATCTGTTCAACCACCGCTGAGGTCCGCTGCTCAGATTTTGGGAAGTAAGGAACTTAAGAAAGGCGAGCAATTTCATGGGTGTCACCATGTCAACATGCTCCTCCTTGACAAGCAGGTAACTACGACCAAACACCACCGTTTTCATTAATGCTCTGCAAGCTTTTAAACCAGTTTGATACTAGGCTGAAAAGTCTGCGACTCTAATGCATTTAACAACGGGACTTACATAGTCGCAATACGTCCCACTCAGTTAAAGATGCTCTTGGTTTTAGGATGGTTTTGGTTTTCCAAAAAAAGGGGGCGTGTAGCATCTGTTAATATGATGTGTGAAGTGAATTAAGCGGTTAGACTTTTTGCTCGAGAGTAAGCATCTTAGGCTTATATTAAGTTAAGAAGTTCGATATCAACAAGCAATAGACTGACATATCATATATGTTCTGTTTAATCTTTAATGCAATTAACAGAAGATGATTGGCGTCAAGCTGCACAAATAGAAGAAAGAGGAATGTTAGAGAGAAATAGGAGCTCTGAGACGTGGAGACAAGTTGCTATAAACGACGCTGCTGTTGGCTTTTGTGGCAGTGAATTTAT